TAGCCCTGTTAATATCTAACAAAAAATTTTCTGTGTGTTTTTTTGTTATTTTGCTATATTTGATTCCTCAGTCAGAGAAAACAGAAAAGAGTTTTAGATTTTTCTTTTGCAATTGTTTTAATATTAAAATTCTTTTAACATAAAAACTAATAGTCTTGTATTATCAATATTATATTGTAAATAAAATATAATCTTTGTTTTAATATAAACTTTATAATAAACTACTTTAGTAAAGTTCATATCTTATATTACTTGTGTTGTATTAAGAAGGCTACGCACTTGTAACAATATTTTCTCTTAGCAGCACTTATGTAATAAATTTTCATTTTGAGCATCTTGGTATAATTTTCAATTTTCCTTATTTGTAAATTCCCCAAAAATTTTTTATCTTACGTTATACAAATTGCCCGTAGCATATACTTAAATAAAGATAAACCTTTTTCCAAGTCTCATAACAATATTAAACTATAATGTCTTTGACAGATCTACCATATGCTGCTGATGCAGAAATACCTTTAACTAGCGACGAATTGAGTGTAAACTATTCGAATTTCATATTTATTACGCTGATATAAAATTAACGATAATCAAATGTTTTGAATTACAGGTGCTTCGTAGACAATTTGAAAGGGAAGGGGACGACGTTACAACACAGACAAAATTTAATTATGCGTGGGGTCTGATCAAAAGCAAAAGGAAAAATGAACAACAATTAGGAGTTAGATTACTTGCAGGTAAGATCCTCAAGCATTTATCAATTTTTACTATTATCTAATACATTGTACGTTATATAGAAATATTTAAGGAATCGCCCGAACGTCGTCGCGAGTGTCTTTATTATCTTGCCTTGGGCCATTTCAAATTAGGAGAATACACACATGCTGGGGATTATAATAGTCAATTACTTCAAAGGGAGCCCAATAATCTACAAGCTCAGAGTTTAGAAAAACTCATAGAAGATAAACTTAAACAAGGTATGTTTTAATTTCTAAATTTATAATTTTTGTTTTCTTTTAATCATGAAGTTAATATCTCTTAATTGGATCTTGATAGAGGGATTGGTTGGTGCTGTGATTATGTCAGTAGTCGTTGGAGCTGTTGCAGTTGGCGGTTTATTCATCACATCATTATTCAAGAGAAAATAAATGACAAAATATATTTAGCATCCAAATTTTAATTAAACTTAGGCAAATAAAATAATTTACTTCATATTAATAATTTTATTGAAAATAAGACGGATGTCAATTGATTTAAAAATTAGTCGATTTAACGAATAATTTTTCATAAGATTGGGTCGTATATATATGTAAATGTTGCCAAAGGAAATTCCGGAAATCTAATCCAATTTATGGAGTTTTCCTTTCCATTATCATATAAAAATCAGGATTGACTTCGCAAAATATTCTGATACTCAAATTGGCCAAATTATTATTGATGAGATTTGTGTAACTATATTTGGTTTAGATCAATTTGACAAATTTGATCAGATCAATAACCACTAAAGTTAACCAGCCTAGTTCAATAATTTATTATTTCAGTTGTAGCATCTGAGACGGTTCAAATCGTTCAAATTCATTTTTTGTTTCCTCGGATAATTAGAATTGTCCTTTTCTATGTCTAAGCCATAACTGAACAGGCAATCTCCAATCTTTTCTATTTACTTTTGGTTCAAATACATTAAAATTATATTTTTCCAATCTTTTTAGATATAAATCACAAGGCACCTATCAAAAATGGTTGAAATGTTTTTTAAATTAATAAAATAATAATATCAATACATTTTATAAAATAAATCACTTACAGCTGATAATAAGGCAGGTAAAGCTCGATCGGGAATATTTGGCAAGAATGATTTAGCGGTAAGTAAATGATCGTGAGCCAATGTGGCTACTTCAAAAACAACATCCTCTAGTCCTTTAACGGGACCTGACCTAAATATTTCTTCCTGTGAAATGTTATGCTAGAATAATAAAAAAAAAATATATATTAAACATTATGATTAATACTTTTAT